TAATACAAAGCCAGCCTCCTTGCAATGCTCACCACCAGGTGCCAGCTCTGCTCTCTGGAGCAGTCTCTCAAGGGAGAACAACTTCGTCTGGGCAGGATGACGTTTGTGCAGGGCTGTCTGGTGCACTGGAATACACTGAGCATTCCCAGCTCTCATTCACTAAATAATAGTTTACCATGACAGCCAAAGGTGCTCATGTGTTTCTAAATCTCACTCGTATCCACACTTGAAGGGGACCCGGAGACCCTGATCTGCAGCTGTTGACCTACAGCACCCAGCCCCCTCTCCCTGCGGAAGTCCTGTGAATATCTCACAGGTCTGTCTTATTCTGCCCTGAGGAAACAAAAGACCATGCCCATCCTAAAACACTGCATTGAGGACTGAACAGAGGACCACAAATGTAATTAGAATATAAATGGTGGGTTCCACGTAGTTTTATAATATTTATGACTGTACTCATAATTTCTGCCTTCCTCTGCCATCTAATATTTAAATACCAATGTGCGTCTACTATCAGCCCCGACAATCAACTGATGATGACAGCCCGAGTTCAGCTAAAGTTACAGCCAGAGAGAGGCTGTGAATTCTGGGAAGGAATCCAGAGAATCACCGATTCATATTGTTAGGGCTTGTGATGAGGGAACAGGGCAGGAAATACAGCCTACCTGGCTCTAGTCTCCTTCAACCCTGCAGTACAAGTCTGGCCTACATTGTTGGGTACTTTACAAAAATTTGTATAAAATACAGTGTTCCCTCAGTTCATGAATGCTTTTATTTACAAACAATTTGGTTCACAAACAGAAACACTGGGTAAAATTTTGCTTTTGTGTGAAAACTCTGCATTGGGTGACGAACACAGCCGTTGCCACATTTCCTGCAAGAACACGAACAAGAACATGGCCATCTTTTCCAGTATTGTGGAATGAATTCAGGGTACTGAAGTGGCCCCCAGATCTGCTGTCTTGTCCTCTAGCTCCTTAGAGATGGTGAATGTGTTATAATCCTTTTTGTTTCCCAAGTATTCAGTGTAATTCCCAGTACAATGTAAAAGCAGAGGTTTAATAAATGTTTGAATTAAATATACCAGTTTTTGAATAGTATCTTGTAGTCTGGAAATGCATATTTCTCTTACCAAAAAATTTCCAGGTTGGCTAAAAATACAAATTTTGACCTTTTTTTTAACACTGAAAAGCGCATCCAATGGAAGCATCTTAGGAAAGGATAAACATGTCACCACAACTTTCCTGCAAGCCAGGCTCTCATCAGTTTCCTGGACTGCTTTTACTCTTTTATTTACTAGGAAAGTGTCACCAGAATAACTTTAGGACCATTCTACAGTCTTCTAGAAATAGAATAAGAGAGCCAAGGAGCAAATGCGTCTGTAATAAAGTTTACTCAGCTATTCACCTCTCTTTTCACCAGCAATTATTGTACTAAATACCTGCACAGAAGCTGGGCCACATATAAAGGATGTTTATCTTCTAGTAACTTACAGTTTACTAATGGAGAGACTGGGAGGTGGGCTAATGCTGTTAAAATTAAGGGAAACACAGGAAACTCGAGGCAGACTTCTTCCTGGGAGATCTAAGGAGGCAGCACAGAAGCGGGGAGAGCTTCCTATCCTGTGCCCATGTTCTTCAGGGCACCTTGACCTACCTCTCTTTGTGACATATCTAGATCTTTAAAAAGCATTTCTGGGCTTTCTCTCCTTTGTTCAGAGACATCCCTGTAGATCCTGCCATAATAAAAGCTTGTTATGGTCCTGGTCTGGTGCTGGTTTTCAGCTCTTTTTACTTAACATATCCGGTGTCAAGACCTGGGAGGAAGGTGGTCCATTAAGTAAAAATCTCCTGCAGGCCAGGGTCGATCGGCCTTTTGGCCACCTCTTCCAGACCACATCTGCCGAGCCGGAACCTCCTCGGGCCTTTGTACCTTTGCCATTGCTGAGCACTCACAGCCACACCGGTCACTGATTTCAGGGTGAGGAAGTAGTTAGCTTCCCTCTACTCAGGTCCTATCTCATTCTCGTTCTTTCCCTCTGAGGACTACTTGGAAATCCAAGAGCTTGGCCAGAGAGGCCCTCTCGGGCCACTGAGCCCAGGACCATGCCCCTGGGGAACGCCCCATCAGCCCGACTCCCCTCAACCTCCCCTTCTGGGGACCGGCTCAGGGAGTATTAAAAGAGACAAAGACATTCCTCTCTCTTACCCTCATCCTAGGAAACTAACTCCCCCTTAACCACCCTAACACAGGCACCCAACAATCCAAATACCCTCCCTCAATGCCTCTTGGCTGCCTCCTGGCACAACATCATCCCCTTGGACTGTTGGGACCCGACTTTAAGCAAAAATGACTCATTTTTTATTGTAACCAAGTTTGACCTCAATACAAATTAGATAATAAATCTCAATGGCCTGAAATGGCACTTTCAATTTTAACACACTGAGCAATTAACCCAATTTTTGTCAATGCAGTGGCAAATGGTCAGAAATCCCCTACCTACGAGCCTTCTTTCTTAGCCCTCCGTCAAATTTGTTGGCCCTCTCAGGTACTTCCAGCCTTAACTCCACCCTCCTGTTCCACACCTCCATTCTCCTTACCCAAGTGACTCCCTCCCTGACCCTGACCTCAGCCCAGACTCCAAAGTGACTACTTTTGACCCAGTGAGCCACTTTATAAAAGGTCGTTCTGTCTGTGAGACCCCTCTTTTCCCTCTTGATTCCTGCTATCCAGATAAAGTTATTATAGTTAAACTCACTGCTCCTAAGGCACTAGATGTCACTGATCTTCTCTTCTGGGTGTTCAACCACCAAAGTGAATGAGGCTGCTGTAGAACTTCAAACCCAATATTTTGGCCCTGGCCCTCCAAGGTCATCAAAGGTCCAAGGTATGAAGGAACATTTTCCATAACACCTTACATCTTTGGTAAGTCACCCAACCTCCTGAGCAGGGAGACTGTTGGATACTACAGGACAAATGTAACATGTGCCAAAGAGGGTCACCAAGAAAAAAATCTCCCATGCTTTCACTAAAAAGAACTTGGTAAAGCAAGACCGTGACCCATCCTAATGGCTGACACTGACAGGAGCCAAGAGGCTCTATTCCCGGTCCCCAAATAATGCCTAAAGAGACTTAACTGACCTTGACAGTAAGATGTTCATATTGATTAACACAGTCTCAGTTTAACTTGGTCTTAAACACCCAGCAGAAAAGAATAACCAAAAGAGGGAGTCAACACAAACAGGGCACTAGCGATAGACTTTTGAGGCCCACCACCCCACCTCCCTATAAAAGGATAGATCTCCAAGTGGTAAACCAGATAACCCAGTCTCAAAAAAGGCTACAACACCTATTTAATACCACCCTCCACTATCTCCCTGTCAGTATCTCAGGCTGTTGGATGTGTATGTCTGTTTATCCCCACTCATTCACTCGAATTCCTGTCCCCCTAGATTTTAACCTATCTATCTCAAATACTGGCAATTTATCCACAGTTCTGGGACCCTTTTGCTATGGGTCTCCCATTCCCTACACTAACCCGACATGCATGGGGCAAAATAACATCATCTGCCTTGCTTGCTCCCTGTTTATCTCAGAAGAGCGTCTGATCTGCCTGTCCAACAGCCTGTACTTCATATGTAATCAAGAGGCATTCCGAATGATGCCTCGATCAGTCTGATGCTTTCCGTTACGTACCCTTCCTTAGCCCGCCCATGACCATTTATACGGAAGCCCAGATGTCAAAACAAGTTCTCCCATAGAACACAATCAGAAAAAGGGCAGGTCCTCTTCCAGTCCCCTTCTTAATGGGCGCAGGGGTCTTCACTGGAATGGCAACGGGGACAGCGGGCATTTCTACATCCACACATTTCTATCAGGCCCTGTCTTTAGAGATTTCGGAAGACATGGATAAAACAAGCCAGTGTTTCAATACAGTACAATATCAAATAAATTCTCTAGCAGCAGTCAAGTTACAAAATAGAAGGGCCCTTGACAGGCTGACAGCAGCCCAAGGAGGAGCATGCCCGTGGCTAGGTAAAGAATGCTGTTATTTTGTTAACCAGTCAGGAATTGTTAAAGCAGAGGTTAAAGAATTACAGCAGCGTACTGAAGAGCGAAAAAGACGATGGAATTCTTGGGGAATAGATCAGAGCTATTCCTGGCTTCCCCAAATCATGCCTTAGCTACTTCGCTTGCTGGGCCCACTGACATGCCTTTTAATCATAATACAGCCCTTTCTGCTTCAGTTTTCAAATTTCCTCGCAGGAATGCATGAGGGCATTTACCAACCACACAGTCATGGAACTTGTCATGGTGGGGTACGGGCCATTGTAGCAGAGGGAAGAAGCCCCACCTACCGCTGCCCCCATCAGATCCAGGTTTAGCCCCAACCTTCACCCCTTTGTCATCTTGAAGCAGTTCTCAAAGAAGAGACCTTCGCCCAATAACCATAAAACAAAAAGCCTGGACTGTTAGATTTCCCTTGCCTTAAGTGGCTGCCGCAGGGAATAGCAGCCTGCGTGTTAAAATATGGCTTCTCCCAGCAAAGGACAGGCTTCTTCTTCCCATCAAGCCTCTTCGCCCACCAAAAGAGTAACCTGATACTTGCTACCTCCTAGCAGATAGTGATGCCACAAGCCCCTCCTAGTGACGCCACAGGCTCCGCCAATCCCTTAATACCACCTCACTCAACCCCACCCCGCTCCTATAAAAGAAGCTGCCTGCTCTGCCACGTTGCTCTCTCTCGTTTGTTCATAGACAGCCCAGCAGATCCTCCCCATAATAAAGGCTTGTTATAGTCCTGGGAAAACAAAACAAAAGCACTTCTAAAATACTGTAATGATAATCGCAGAAAGATATGTAAGATATTTTAGCAAAGAATGACTAACTGGCCTCTTATGAATATTCTTGGTTTGGAAAGTTTCATGACGGTCTACACATATATGATATATAGTACAGAAAAGCACAGTCTGAGCATGTCGAAGTTATTTCAAGCTCACCAAGGCTAGCTGAGGCCAGTATGTGATTCTCTTCATCAGGGGGTAGGTGATGACGAGGAATAATGATGCTGCTCCCAGAGCTATACTGAAAATAGGAAAAGCAGGATTAATATCACAGTCACTCGGGAATCACTAATTATTTAGAAATTTTTAAAATCTTAAATAATGGTTTTTGTTATGCAAAATTCTATTCCTGGACTTTGGCTTCCCCTATTACAAAGGATGATTAGAAAAATATTTTAAACAATCAAACAAAATAATAGCTAACACATACCAAGGAGTGATTTACATGTTGGTTTATTACAATCTTCACAATGACCCAAGGACACAAGTAGTTTTACTCTGGTTACATCTTTCTGCAAATGAGATGAAGTAATTTGCTGTTGTCACACAGCTTTTCTGCAGCAGAGCCAAGGCTGAAACCCAGCTCCGGAGGCCAGCCTGCTCACCACACAGCCTTAAACGATCAGAAACCCTCAGTGTCTAGCAGACGAAACCTCCTACAAGTGAGCTGGGGTCAACAGATCCTCCTTTTATTCACAATTTGTGTTAGTTCTCAAGACAAGGCAGACACGGAAAACGTAAGATGCTCTTTGGTACCTGATGCCCAGCTCACAGCACTCTGGGAAGAACCTCCCCAGGGTGTTTTCCAGTTACCCCTGCTGTCAGCATAAGGCCCGTATAAACCTCTAGTCAGGCTTTGCTAATGGCCCTCCCCACCCCTGGTCTTTTTTGCCCTCCTCCTCCTCAAAGCACTTCATAAACAGGCAGCTGATGTACAAAGGCTTAGCTGTACCTCTATTTAAGAGTTACAGGAACAAGCATTCCCATTTTCCCCTTGTCACTGATTGATTAGTTACGGAACAGGGGAAGTACACAATTGTTTTTGAAAAACCAGTCTACTTACTTGTGTTTCCTTGCACTTTGGGAATAACCTCCAGCATAAACTATACATATACACAACCGTGTATACAAACTTAGAAAGCTGTGCAAGTGCCTGCGTCTCTTAGGAGATATAAAATGGAGATGATTTCGAATACATTCAATGCTGATTTTTAACTCCTTTGGCAGAAAACACTGTAGGTTTTTGTTGTCATTGTTTCATTATGCAATGCTGGGGATTGAATCCAGGGTCTTCTCATTCCCAGAACCTCTCCTCCTATTTTTAAAATTTTAAGACAGGGTCTCACCAATTTGCTAAGTTGCCTAGGGTTGGCTTGAACTTGAAATCCATGCTGGGATTACTAGGTGTGTGCCACCATGCCTGGCTGGCTGAAAGCATTCTTGTAGCAGATTTTACAGTGTGGAAGGTTACTGTATTTATGCTTCATAACTTACAGATCCTGGACATGCAGCCAATAAACAACTTTAGTGATGAAGGTTTTTCTATTTTACTTTATTCGTATTTTCTCTATCTCAAAGGAGTCTATACACGCTCAAGAAAAACACATTTAATATAGCTGTAGTAACTCAGACACAGAAGAACACCCAGTGCCAAGGTCAGCTGTCCCCCGAGAAAAACCAAGGACTGCAAAGCTGAAATGTGTCCAGCGGCTATTGGGCGATTGGCTGTTCTTGTAACCTTAACACAGAAACACAGAGAGATGCCTTAGCCTAGTGCTCAGGTCACTTAAACATTTAGTCAGGAGGCTTCCTTGCATAGGCATTGAGGGACAAATATGAGTAAAGAATAAAATGAACATTGGAAGTGCTGTCAAGAATTAAAACTGCATATTTAAAATAGCACTGAAAAGAGCTAAAAATTCCCATCACTCATTCCCCCTTTCATTTGATTTCCCAACCCCATCTCCAAACAAACAAAACAAAGCAACCTTCTTTTCTAGCTCTTTAGCTACTCAGCACAGCGAACAGTAAGCTCCATTTCCACAAAGAAATGAAGCCCAAGAACAACGGGCACTCTCGGGAGAGGAGAAACTGCAGCAGGCGTCGGGTAAGGCTAACACAGCAGCGCTTCAGTCAGACATCAGAGGTGGAGAGAGACCATGTCATCGGGGTTTGCAAGTGGAGCGCTTTCGCCAGCTACTTCAGAACGGTCTGAGAGAGCATACTGACCACACTCCTGTGGTGGGGTGAATTCCCCGTGAAACTAAGTAGGCAAATAATTTGCACTGCTTGTTTTTACTTTGTAAAATATGATTAGCGTAACTCAACCACAAATAAAGGATATTGCCAACATTTTTGACATTGCTAGAAATTAAGACAGGATCAGGAATTAGAAAACTTATTATCTGGGCCGGGGATTTAGCTCAGTGGTTCTGCTGCCTGCCTTGCAAGCACAAGGTCCCAAGTTTGATCCCTGGTACCAAAACAACAACAACACAACAGAAAGAAAAAGAAAACCTTGCATTTGAATTCTATCACTTACTGGCAAATTATTTAACCTCACTTTGGCTACTTATCTGTTAAAGGAAATATAGAGGAAGAAGGAATAATAACACCTACCTTACAGGGTAAGGAAATGCACTGTCTTGGGTTCACAAATACACAAGCCCTGTTATCTATTGTTAATTTAACGTTTTTTGTATAGTTAATACAAAGCCTAGCAAACTGTGGCCTATGCTTGCATGCATGTATATATGCATGTTTGTTTCTATTTGCTAATGAACTAAGGATGGTTTTTCTACTTTTAAATAAATGAAAATAATTTTTAAAAGGATATGCAAAGAACATGAAACTCAAATTTCAGTGTCTACAAATAAAGTTTTTTTGAGAAACATAACCATAACCATTTTTTAACACTTTGTCTGAGGTTGCTTTCACACTCTAACAAGAAGTTAATCAACTGCAATGAAGATGATTTGGCCAACAAAACCTAAAATATTTACTAACTGGTTCTCTACAGAAAAGGGCTGCTGTTAGCTGAGCATAGTGGCACACACCTGTAATCCCCGCACTCAGGAGGCTGAGGCAGGAGGATCTCTTCAAGTTTGAGGCCAGCCTGGGCTACACAGTGAGTTCAGAGCCATCCTGATTACACATTTGTGTCAGAAAACAAAATTTCCTTGGCCACCAGTAGTCTGTATTGTAAGTATGGGGTTTACTTACCCATGGGAATCTATAGGGTTTCCCTACAGATAGCTCCTGTGGAAAGGGAAGTCAGACTTCCCCGTTGCCATGTAAGGTAAGTGACACTAGACACTAAGGTTTCTCAGGGCTTTAGTCTTGGATTCACTTGTAAAGGAAGGAAAAAAACATCTACCTCACTGAGTTGCAATGACAATATTAGTGATGATGGTTTGAAAACAACAGATACACACCAGTTACTACGGGTCAGGGGTTTCCATAGGACACTGATGATTTTCACAACTTTACACCAACAGCAATCTGTCCAAGGCAGGCAGGCAAAAAGTGGCCACAGGAGAATTCCAACCCATGCAATGTCTATAGTCTATGCCTTAGGTCCAATGCTATCACTCTGTATACTTAAACATACAAACTGTTAGGGAATTGATCATGTTAAAGTATGCTGTGACGCCGCCTCACAGGCTGCATTCTCCTGGTACATCTTGGCTCCTAAAATGACCTCATGCCCTTATCTCTGGTCCGCCCCCCCCCAAGGCCACAGTGGTCCAGGAAAGTTGAAACCTGTGTCTGCAGGACTGGGCCCATAAAAGCAATCTGGCCTGTGATAGGCTAAAAGTAGCTCACTCCTCATAAATAAGCAATAGCCCACCCCCAAACTGATAAAAGTACCTTCCTTTCTTTGTTCTTCTCTCCTTCTGCTTCTTCCTCCTCTCTCTCTCTCTCTCTCTCTCTCTCTCTCTGCCTTCCTGCCTCCTGCTCGCCTCCCTACAATAAAGATCTCCTGCCGGACCCCTCGGTGTGTGAGTGGCCTAATTAGGAAGGGGCACCCGAAAGGGCACGCGAACCCCCTTTCACAAACAGGTTCCACTTCTTGTGCCTACTGATTCCCAGCAACATTTTTTTCTGTCTTCTCCTGTCTCCTCTTTGACACTTTGATTCCTCACGCTCCCTTCCGAAAAAACAGAGGGCCGGGGATTTAGCTCAGTGGTTCCACCACCTGCCTTGCAAGCGCAAAGTCCTGAGTTCAATCCCCACTGCCAAAAACAAAACAAAACAACAAAGAACCTCTTTAAAAAAGGGTTGGGGGTTTAGCTCAGTGGTGCCACTGCCTGCTTCACAAGCACAAGGTACCGAGTTTGAACTCCGGTACTAAAAAAGAAAAAAGAAAATGCAGAGATGGTACAAGTAAGAGACAAATAGGTTGCAGAAAGAAATGTTTATTGTGAAAAAGAATAATCTCTGGGAGATGAAATAAAACGAGCAAGTTGTGAAAGGTGATGGGCAGATTAAAGTGTCTGTGTAAACCGAATCTAGGATTCATTCACCTAACAGATCATCTTTAAGAAAACACAACCATGAACTGCTAATTTGATGGAAAGAGCGCCACCTGCTGAAACTTCCTGACGTAATGAAGATTCACTGACCCATTCGAAATAAATTGTACTGCCTTCTCCAAAAAGAAAACCACTACTGGCTTATGAAAGTGACAAGATAAAATTTCAATAAAGTAAAACAATAAACAGTATTACCCCACAAGAGAATTTAAATAAAGAAATATTAAACCAGGAATTCTACCACTGTCAATTACTGTTCCCAGCATATACAATAGGGGCTCAAAAAACGTTTGTTGAATGAATTCTAAATTTTCTAAAAAATTTAAAAGCCAAAGCATGTAGGCTGGTATCATCAACATAAATAACTATAAACACAATTTTCTCTAATCGCCATTTATGCAGGAATAACGGGTAATATTTATTTTATGTCAGGCAGTGTTCAAAGTACTTAATATGTGTTCGTGAAATTTCACGTAATCTTAAAAATAATTAGTATCTTCATTTTAGAGATAAAGAGTAAAGCCCCAAAAGGTGAAGTAATTTAACCAAGGTTCCTGAATGACAGATCCAAGAGGTCTGGCTCCAGGACTCCGCTCACAACCCTGTGACGGCCTGTTGCACGGAGCGTGAGCGAGCTCGACTTCGGCCCGCCTCTGGGGCTCGGGG